GCCCTAAAACTAATACGACTTGGAATGGACAAGTATCAGAGGGGTAGCCGTGTTAGTCTGAATCTCCAAAAACAAGAAGTCCTGTGGCACCTTATAGACTGAGGTCTGTAAGGTGCCACAGGACTTCTCGTTGTTTTTGGAATGGACAGAGAAGGAAGAGCTTGAAGAGATGAACTGGCTGTATTGGTTGAGAACTTTGCGCCATTGATTCAGGGAGATGACATTGTGGCTGAGTCCATCCCAGGGACTGTTAGCAGGGGTGAGGAATCCATTGCTGAAATGCCAGAGGGGAAGGGAAATACCACAGGGGCTGTGGAGGGGGCAAGAGAAACTCTTTGATTTTCCTCCAGCTGAAGGGCACCCTGTCACAATGTATAGATTTTTTTTTTTTTTTTTTTTTTTTTTTTAAGAAAGCGGATCATGCTGCTTTGGGGGTGGAGGAGTGAGGAAAATTCACAGAAATGGACTAAATATACAGCTCAAAGTACTGAGTTTTTGACCAATAAGCTTAATGTATCCTTCATTCTGAAAGCCACCATTACAGGAAGAGAGAAGAGTGGGGGGAGAAACAGGTACAAGTCATTTGGGCTGCAAAAGCAGGTGGGGAGGTTGCTATGACAATGAAAGAGAGAGGAGTGGGAAAAGAGAACTGTCTGTTACAGAAGAGGAGAGAGCCATAGTAGAAGCAGGTCTGCCAGCGTGGATTTGTGACAGGAATCTAAGTAGTAAATAAAACAAAATGTGCAAATATTGCCTCAAGGGACTAAAATTATGTCTGGATTCTGGTGAGCTGAGCTTTTTACTTATGGGAATAGAACCCTTGCCATGGAATTACAGTCCTATATCTGGCAGAGCATAAAATCACAATCAAAAGGAAAACAAAATAAATCACAAATGATTCTAAACTAGACCTGTATCTCACAGTTATTGGACTTTGTTTTGTGATTATTAGTTCCACAGGTTAATTATATACTGCACGAAACGGTTTATTAATTTTAAATTTAAATGTTTAAAATTTTTAAATTTAAATCATTTAAATCTTTACATTTTTTTCTTCTCACTTATTTTTGTATATGGAGAGATCATAAATGAGTGCCAAGTTTCCTTATTTTCTATACTTTTCATTATTTTGAGTACCTTGAGTCTTAGAGTCAAAATAATAATCTACCTTGATGATAATACACAACCTGAGTGGTCCCTAACTAGGGAATTTGCCAGACAAGGGGAGGTCAGGCCTTGGGTTCTCCCTGTGCCCTCCTCCTGTTCACGGCCCCAGCCACCGCACTACTTCTAGCACACCTGCTGGGGTTTGCTGCCCCTGATGGGGCTCCTCCATGAACCACTAACCCCACTCTGGCTGACGGAGTTCCCTGCCCCTGGCCAGGCTCCTCTCTGGGCTGTCTTCCAGCTTTGGCTGGTGCGAATCTACACCCCTGCTTGTGTTCTCTCTGACTGGCCTCACTCCAGCCACAGCAGGGCTCCGCACACACAGCTGGCAGCACTCTCTGCCCCCAACTGCCGGCCCTGCTACAGCCAGCGGGTCTCCATGCTCCTGGCTGGCCAGGCTTCTTGCTCCAGCCTCACTCCAGCCGCAGCAGGGCTTTTCTCTGGGATGGTCTCACTCCATGCTCCTGGCCAGCTGGGTTTACTGGCCCTCTCTGGTCCAGCTACATCCATGGTCCTGCCAGACCTCGGATGTTGCCGGAAATAGAGGTTCAACTTGTAGCGGACTATGTGCTGAAACTTACTGCTAGTATATCTTGTTTTAATCTGAGATGCGAGTATCCTATATAACTGTACTCACCTGCACATTAAAAATAAATCACATTACATATTCAGAAGGCTGCATCTATACTGAAACTATTAGAATGATTTATGTATGAGAATGACATTTCTCTCTTAAGTATGGGTAAATTTGAATGTCAAACAGAATTTTATATTTGTATACAAAACGTATGTCATGTCTATGCAAAGTCCCATTGTAGCTACGTTTTGGCTTAGCTTTTCCTATAGTAGCAGTGGTGAGAGTGGTAATATAGGAAGGCTTTCTGATGCTATGAGTGGTACTGAATCATTGTGGACAGAACAAAAGGACACCATAGTATTGTTGGAGTTTGGTGGTATTTATAAAGACTATTGGTACCTTTTCTATGCTGGCACTCCCACCAGTGGAACTTAACTGATGATAGCAACAGCCAGACTTGTTTTGGGGGGAGAAGATGAATCCAAACCAAGCTTTAGAGATTTGCTCTTTAGCTTAAAAGGTACCAATAAATGCTCTCAAAATGCCCCTGAAAGTATGTATGTTTGCCCTCAAGTAATGATACTGGCAGATAATATCACACCTCTGAGTTTACCTCTTCATATTTTCTTTATTCATTGGAGGTCACTGCTGTTTGCTTAGGCAGAGTAGAGACCGCTTAAATAATTCAGTGATTAAATGACTACTGCAAATGCATCTAGAGGTTTTCTTTCAAATTGGGAGATATTAATTAAAAAGTGTAGCCAAAGGACCAACTAGTGAGTCCCAGCTGAAGTCCTGGCAGTACTGTGCTCCATTTCCATTCATGAGGCCTCTTAAATGTTATGGACATCTGTTTTTTTTTTAATTTAATATTATCTATATTTTGGGGGAGCCAAACAACAAATCTTCTCTTGTATCTGTTTTTATTTTTTGAAAATAATCAGTGTAGGAAATGTATATACAATTCAGAGTTTCAGAATAGGATAGAAGGAATACCTCTGAGTACTGGAGACTTCTGGGACTTAGTTCATCGCTAAGACTGAGCAGCTCAATTGGTGGTTAAGTGCTGTCTGCATGTGATGTCTTGTTTCATTTAATTCTTTTTAACATGAATAATTTAAGGAAGGGAGAGAGCTAAAATCAAGACCCTGTATGTGAGGTTACAGATTTTCATCCCTGTCCTGTCTCAGTGAGAGATTTGAAATTAAGTTTCAGAGCTCTCTGAAACTGGCAAGATGGAAATGTTAAACATTATGCTAGAAACTTTTTTCTTTCTCTGTTGTGTTATGCTTAGGGTTTTTGTTGGGTAAAAAGAAAAATCTCTTAGGTCTCAAAATACTTTATAGCAGGGGGTTCCCAAACTTTTTCATACGGGTACCAGTAAATCCATTCACGAGCTTTTGGAGGACCAGTAACATTCATTTGCATATTCATTAAGCAAAAGATGAATATGCAAATAAGTTGTTTCTGGTCCTCCCAAAGCCCCCAGTGCCAGCTTTAGCAAAGCTTTTGATACAGTCACCCACAATATTCTTGCCAGCAAGTTAAGGGAATATGGATTGGATAAATTAACTGTAAGATGGATAGAAAGCTGGCTAGACCAGGGTTTCCCAAACTTTTTACTTGAGTTGGAACCTGTTTTTTTTTTCCCCAGTACTGTTTTTTGCAGCCCAAAATATAAATGCATATAAAAAAAAATGAAAAATTAATACATTTTCACTGTTTCACCCGGCTGCATCCTCCGCCCAGCCTGGGCCAGGGTTTGGGGGACCTGGAGCCACACAGGCACTCCGGGAGGCGGAAGCAAGAGCAGATTGGGGGTAGGGTATCTGGCTAGAAAGAAGGATGCAAGGAGGGGACTTGGGTAGGAATTGGGCCTCCCTGGTCCCAGATGAGGGATTTTTTTGGACCAGGGGAGGTCATTTCAGGTCTCCTGGTCATCGTCCCCCTCCCCCCATCAGGCTTCTTTATACCTCTCTCCCCTGCACCCCAACTGAGCTGCCCACTCCCGCTGGTTCCCTGTACCTCCCCCAAAACCACCTCAACAAACTGCAGCACCAGTTCCCTGCAGCCCCTCACAGCCCAGCTGAGCTGCCCTTCTGTTCCTTCCCCCATCCACCTCAGCCCAGTTGAGCCCTGCACTGGTTCCCTGCATACCTCCCCCACAGCGCAGCTGAGCCCCTTTCCCTGCACCTCCCCACCCAAGTCCTGCAGAACTGCTGAGCCCAGCTCTGATTTCCTGCCCCTGTCTCCTTCCCTCTCTCCCTTTTAGTCTAGCCTCGGGTTCCCGGCACCTCCTCCCTCCTGAAGCTGCTTTGAGCTCTGCATTTCCCCCCCCCCCCCCCCCCCCCCCCCCCAGTCCCACA